AAGATATCAAACAGGTAGACAGTTTAATCCCATTACTTTTTATCGTCACTATGAGGATTGCGAAATGAATAAAACAGAAAGAAGCGAAATTAAACACAGTAATTGGATACAGAAATCTGCAACCTGTAAGATTGAGTAATCTTCTATACGCAGACGATGTAGTATTGATCGCAAATAGAGGACATGAAAATGGAAGTGAACATAAATAAAACAAAACTGGTGATAGTAAATAAGGCGAAATAACAAGGCGATTAAATCCAAGAACAGAATACTAGTAAGAGCAGTAATCTATAAATATTTGAGTGGAAGATAGGATAATAGAAGAAATAACAAAGAGAGCGAACAAATCAACCAAAATAAACTACATCTGTTTCAATTGTAGTTCATTTCGAAAAGTATCAATTGCATATAAACACATGACTTTCCTATCTAGTTATTATAGGCTTTTTCCGGTTATTTTGTACAACCTATTGCAGCACCTCTATAAATATTTAGAGGATAAACTAAATATATACATTTTCTTATACATCTACCTCGAGACATTTTTCTATAGATATTCATTGAAAACGAAAATACTGAAAAATTTAAATTTAGCACTTTTCCTCCAATTTTTCCATTACGGTCCGTTTTAGAAAGAAAAATTATATATAAACAAAAATTATAGAGATTGATATCGCAAACAACTTTTGGTTTAACAATTTTCATAAAAATCAGAATTTTGCACATTTTGTCAAATTTCTCGAATACGGACCATTTCAGGAAATTTTGACATAGAGCAAAAATTATAGATAATAATATTAGAAGTAACTTTTATTTGAACAATTTTCTTCTCCAAACATAAATAAGAGACATATTCCATAAAATATAAAAACGGCCTCCCATAAAGTACCCCCCAGATGTTCCGACTTTGTCCAAAATTTATTCATTTCACGTCAGGCCGAAATAAAACTTAAGTTTAAAATTTAATGTTTTTTCTTTATCCGTTTTTGAGTTTTCTTCAAAATTCGAAATTTACACATTTTCTCAAATATCTCGAATACGGTCCATTTTAGAAAAATTTTGTATAGAACACAAATTATAGATAATAATATTTGAAGTAACTTTTATTTGAAGAATTTTCTTATCCAAACGTAAATAACAGATATATTCCATAAAATACAGCAATTCTTACACTGAGCGATAACAATGAGAAAACTTTAAAATTGAAGATTAATTCTAGAACATTCTAGTGAAAAAAAAATGAAAATATTTAATTATGGGCTTACCGTTCGCAGGTCACCTTTCTTTGTAGCTTTAAACAGACTCTCATTTGGCTTCTCGTTTAAATAGCTGAAAAAATTAAATGCTACTTAAAATCTTTAATTCCATCGTAATTAACAAATTGGTGTTAAAAATATTTTTTTATCGAGAAAAACCTTACCTATATGCATTGTAAGATTCTTGATTCAAACCAAACAATCTCTCAGTGATGCTGCATGCACAGTCCTTATTAGTGTGAGAATATTATAGAAAAACGAAGAAATTCTTTTTTTTTTTAGTGAAGATGCTATAAATCTTTTCACAGAAAATTATTCTAGCCAATCCAAGGAAAATATTTTTGAATTATATTATATCTTATACCAGTCTATATGTCAAAGGGAACTACTGTTTCGTTAAAACACATTGCTTGTGACTTATCACTTTCGTTTCGAGGTTAGAAATACTATATTTATCAAAAATGTGATTAATTCTGCAATTTCATCGAAACAAATTGGCGCCCAACGTAGGATATGTTATTTTTAACCTCGAAATACATAAAAAAATCTTTAAAAATATTTTTCTTGGATATACTACCAGTAATTTGTGAACCATAGTTGTTAAGGTGCCATAGAAAATAACTGTAGAATCGCAGAAGAAAACACATCGGATATTATAAAAAAAATATTTACATGTATGCGTGATTATGATTGCAGAATTATAAGTACCCTTATTTTTCTATTGATAAATTTTCTTAAAAATATTAACGGACAATCATGATTTTCATGATCTAAAATTCTTTTTATATATATTGGTTGAACCAAATAATTTTGCAAGTGATACAAGAAAGTTATATAAAGACAGATAGATATAGAGATAGATAGATAGATAGATAGATAGAAATATAGATGAAGTTAGATAGAAAGATAGATAGAGAGATGGATATATAGAAAAATAGATAGAGAAATAGGTAGAGATATACAGTGTGATTTTTATAGAAGAACCCACATTGAATATATCAAAATATAGAACTATCATAAAAAAATGTCAATTGAGAATATTTTTCTATCATAAACTCTACTGTAATACGTTATTCTTCTCCCATCTGTTACTCTAACCAATACAATTAAAATAGGAAAATAAACTTCGCTTTAAAAACAGGTCAGACATGGCATCAACCTTTTGACTGGACACTCCCAACTACAGAAAAACAGTGGCTTATACAAAGTTTATCTAATATATTGTATACCAAAGATATTTTTTTTAAAGTCACAAAAATATTTCAGTACAATGGTTATGTTATGTTGGGTATGGGGTATTAATGCACTGCGACCTAAAATATCTATTGTGCCCCCTTCTGTCGCTAATGTATCGAAGAACTAGTCTTGAGGCCTATAACGACCCTTCCAATCCTATCTTCTCAAGGAAGTGTAGGATTTGGAGTGGCTTCAAGTTAGGTAGATCGATTATATTTGGTATGCTCCTAAATATAGTGCCTTTGGATTCTAGATTGTTACAAATTTAATGTGAATGGAGATTTTATTATCCTCCTTACATAATCTACACTCACTATCTTCTACTACTCTTAGTTTACTGAGGTGTCCTTTGCGTCGCCAATGTCCGGTAAGGAACTCTGTTACAATACGTAGCCCTTTCTTGTTCAGGCTGATAGAGGCTTCCGATCCTTTCTGGTTATTTTTACCCAGAAGTATCTTAGCCTGTCTTAACCCCAAGAGATTGTTCCAGTTATCGATTCTTCTACTACCCAATTATTTTTTAATCTCTCCTAATATCGTGGTACTGTTGTTATCGCAGAACAGCTATGGTCTCACAAAGGCTATTTGAGTCTCTTTCCTTGTGTAGATTCATGTTTTGTGCAGGCATGAGTATTGGTTGTTTTATTATAGTTAATTTAAAACAATATTAATACACCATTTTAATTACATATAATTTGTTTCAAATTAGTGCATTTAAAAGAATTGGTGAAAATGAAGCGATTCGCCAGCTTTGGGGATGTGCCCATAAAAGTAACATCGAAGTTATTCAACGATTCTAGAATAAAGTATTAAGGAACATCGTCGATGCACCCTGGTACTGCAACAATACTGATCTTCATGGAAACTGTTAAAAATACAATACAAAAATTTGACAATAGTCACCAACAACGATTACTCCAACATGGAAACCTTGAGATTATCCAGCTCCTCAACAATGCCAATCTAATAAGAAGACTCAAGAGAACCAAGCCTTTTGAGTTAGTTCAATAATGTTAAAGCAGAGTATAGTGCGGTTAAGTGTTATACGTTAACGGTAATGTAACTAAATACGAGGCTGGGCTGAGAAATAATCGACCTCGGCAAGAGTTGGCGGCGCTAGGAACAAATACAATTGTTTTTTGTAAAAACTATCTTTCAAGTGACTTCTGTCAAATTTTCAGCGAGCTACGTCACTTAGTTTGGACTTGACAGTGATTGAAGGCAAAACTGTATGAATTGCGTTACGAATTGGTTCCTCATCCGCCACACTCCCCAGATTTGGCGCCCAGCGACTATTATCTGTTTCCAGACTTGAAAAAATGGCTCGGTGGTAAGAAATTTGAGTTGAATGGGGAGGTCATCGCTGCGAAAGAGACCTATTTTAAGAACTTCGAGAAATCGTATTATTCAAAGGGCATCGAAAAATTAGAGAATCGTTGGATAAAGTGTATAGAGCTTAAAGGGGACTCTGTTGAGAAATAAATTGAGTTTTGCCAAAAAAAGTTGTGTTTTCTTGCCTAGGCCGATTATTTTTCAACCCAGCCTCGTAATTAGACTCCAAGGTATATTAGTGAGTAGAAGTTTTTCATCCCTTGATAAGTTAGATTAGAATAAAATTGCTAATTGATCTTAATGATCAGATTGTAATAATCATAAATGTTTCTTTACTTGGGGCATTTATTAAAAAAACTATTTGTTTCAGATTAGTGCATTCAAAGTATTTCAAAGGACTTTGTGAAAATGGAGCAATTATCGCCTTTATATTTTATGAAATAATGTTTAAAAATTATTTATTTGTTTGTTTAAGAATCAATGTTTGAGTTTTGTGTATTTTAAATAAACATGTATATTTATAAATGTATTTTTTTTTAGTCTAATAATATTAAAAAAGCTAGAATACATTCCCGAAATATTACTACCTATTTAATATTTCTAAAAGATTTCAAATTTTTATTTCAGAAATATTACAGTAAAATATTATATTTACAGGACATTTTTACGTTTCAGGTACATTTCAGAAATGTTTCGTAATATTTATACAATATTGCAAATGTTTTAATGTAATATTTCTGAAATGTATGGGATAGTTGGTACTTTCTCTATTTACATTGTATTGGTTAGAATGATGGAGGGGAGGGCAATGACGTATGATAGTTGAGGATACGATTAATAAATGTTGACATGTTTTGAGAAATCTTCATAATTTGTAAAAGAAATGAAATATTGAGTTTCGATTATTTTCAAATTGACACCGTATATCTATCTTGTAGTGGCCACTTACAACATTTTGATTCAACTCGTATATTTTCTAATAATAATATCCAAGTTGATGGGCGCAATATTTTTCCAATTCAAAATTCACCCAACATAAAGGATTAAAATTATAAAAAAGAAATAGTTAAAAATAAATTGTTTTTAAAAAATGATTAATTAAGGAAGGAAATAAGAAATATTTTTGTTTTTAAAATTAGAGGTTTTGAGAGAGGTATAGAAAAATAAAACAAATGGTGCAAACCATACTTTATTGATAATACATGCCAACAAGATTCTGTCTGTTTGAAAAATATCGAATTGTGTTAAGATAATAAATAATTCAATCTGTAGATACTTATCGATATGTTCATGCAGACAACAGCCAAAAAATAGTTTTATTCGATTTCACAAAAAAAAAAACGTAAAGAACAAATAAATCGTATTCATCAAAAGTGTTCACTAGATATTATTCCCTAATTAGATTCCTAAGTGCATGGTCCCTTAAAAAGTGATAACGAAAAGCAAAAGATGATTAAGCCCTCGATTCAGTCTCTAAATTATCATTTATTCGTTTGAATAAAAGTTTTTATAGCGGAAATACCATCATACCTAATCCCATTATTAATATTAGAACAGTTTAAGACTCAATGCTTTATATCCCTAAGCCAAAAGAATGTTTTGCATTGTACATTTTACGTCAAATAGTAAGAGTAATGTGTAGAATTGCCAACACCAAAAGTGACAGTGAAAGTAAAAAAATGTATGTTGGATGTTCGGGATAGCCGTAGCACAGTACTTATATATATTATTGGTTTTATTCGTTGTATGCGCCTAAGAATAAGTTATTAATTAATTACTATAATTATTACCAAATTTTCGAACCACCTTATACATTGTTTTTATTCTCTGTATAATCAAATTAATTAAAAGTTATTGCTTTGTTCCCTTTACCAACTACCGTAAGTTTATGTTAAACCAATGATTTATTTTAAGGTATTTTTGGTACTCCACTAAAGATCTGGAAGTTCCAATTTAAAAGTCCTATCTTAAATTACCCAAGACAATTTTTTTTTGAAAATGTGTGCTATTAAACGTACAAGCACTAGCCGACCTCAATCAAGGGCTTAGTGTACAAATGTGTGAGTGCTAAAACTATATTTATGTACCTTCTAATTTTCATACTGGCGACTGACGAGACTCTCTCCAGCTGCTGATTGTCTATAGGGCGATTTTCCGCAGGAGTGGGAAAATCTTCGGTCGATTCTAAATTTTTTGGTGATAGAGGAGGGTGGTCGCTTGGTGAGTCTAAATCATCCTCTTTGCTGTAAAAAAATTGTCTCGATAAAGGTAATGGGAAACGGTATGGGTAAATTCAAATCTTAGTATTAAAAATAGATCAAGACAGCGGCGTACAAATGAATTTGGATGCGAATTTTCATCAAAAAGTACATCATGTAATGATATTAGAAAAATTAAAATAAAATCCAGTCTTAATGCCAGCGGATAGATTACCTATTATTTAGGACCTTCTAATGTCAAAAACTAGGAAAATAGGGAAATATAAATCAAATCAATTTGACATTGAGATGTAAAACAACACAGGAGCTGGAATTTGTTATGTATTCTTACTTTAATTATTGTAAGTGTTCAATTTACAATATTAAACCCTTTATTAATAATATTTTTATATTTTGTAACGGTTGGAACCGTTATTTCGACACAACCACCTCTTACTCAAATGTCATTTTTCCTCTTGTGAGATTTATTTTTGATTTGGTTGAGAGCGACAATCAACTTGATTTTTTTTTTAAATTTATCTTGGTCATCCGAAGTATTAGATGATTTTTATTTATCTTAAAATTCTAGACGGTTTTGAATACGCCTCTAGACGTTTTGCATTTATATCTAGAGGTTTTACGTTTAGGTCTCATCGCTAGACAGTTTCGAGTTCAAGTTTGAATACTGAAGATCATTCACACGTTTCATCCTGTCTGTTGAGTTGAATACCATATATCTTGAAGATAATTCACGTTGCAGAATTATGCTGAATTACGAATAAGGATCCCGAATCCCATTGTGGAAGTTGCCTGACGATATACCTTAAGATAACCTAGTTTTACATTCCGTATATTACCAAACTTACCAAAAGAAAAGTGCTTACTCAATAAATCATCTTAAATTTGAATTTAGTAAAACTTATGTGAATTAGAATTTGCTAACTACCTTTATCTAAAGCATGGTTTAAGTATTCTTTGTTAGTGGTTAGTGATTTTCTATATTTTTATCACTAATCTAGAGTCAAGGGTAGTAAGCTTTAAATATAGTGGTGCCAAACTTCTTTTTCAAAGTTATTCGAGTTATTTAATAACCTAATCCACGCCCTATCAATTAAACTCAAACACAATAAACAAGTAGATAGAATAACTAGATATCACGTTACAAATATTGTGCAGCGACCCCTTTGAGGACGCTGACGGGATGTTTCGTTCGGAAATCTCTCATACAAAATTTGTCCAAAAAAAAGAAATGTCCGACAAAAAAATCCGTATGCGTGGTGAGTTAAGGAGTGACAAACGGTTTTCAAAAAAATTATTTGTTTGTAATAAACCGTCGAAAAAGGATAAAGAAAATTTCAAAACGTCATAAAAAAGTGACAGTTGACGGGAGACGAAAAAATCCTTCTTATCAGTCACCTACGATGCCTTGAGCGTCTGCCGTTTATGCATACTCACTTCCATAGTGCACCCAAATCTAGGAAAAGGGATTAATAGAAGGTTTATGCGATTTCCGTGCGATTTTTCGCTGTTTCCATGGAAACCGTCAAACAGATTTTGGCGCCGATTTTTTTTAAGGTTCACACCTTCGGTGCAAGTTTCGTTAAATTCCGTCTATCCGTTCGGACGATATAATTTTTAAAGTGATTTTGGAAACCCTATTTTAAATTTTCTCAATAAAAAGAAATATTTCTATCTAACAGGCGGTGGTTCTTTAACCAGTTGGTTGTTTTACTTCAGTATTAATATAGCGTATAATAATACGAAATTCCTAAATACTATTTATTTAAACTTTGTAACTGGCCTATTCCAAAAATTTGCAAGTTTCAGTTAAACATTTCTCTCAGGATATACAAAAAATATAAATGTCTTTTCTTACCTAATGCGCATTTGCGGAATGTTATATGAAGTTTGATAATTAGATGTGGGAGAAGGATTGGCAGTCTCATCTTCAGGTACGGGTACACTTTCTTCGCTACATTCTAGTATATACAGACTTTCGACGCAAATGTCAAAAACGAAATGCAAACTTTCTTGGGCTTTGTCGATTCGAAAAAATCGTTCTGCTGTACAAGCTAAAAATATACAAATTATTAATACTGTAATTCATTAAAAATAAAAAATAGGTTTCGTAATTTTTAATCACTTTCATCTTCAGGCACAACATAATATGTCCATTACGGGTGAGATACTTTTATTTATTTAATATCATAGGCATCAGATATGAGTTATGTTTAAATATTTACGGAGACTGAATCTTAAAAGGTCGTAGAACAAGTGAAATTACGAAGTTAAATCATCATTTCAATAGCTGGTTCACATTTACCAAATATGCTAACAAACAAAGACATTACAACTAAGATTCCCACCAGATTCTCGTTTATTGCGTCTCTGCCGGTTTTATCAGTCTGTAAAAATTATTTGGAGAAATTACTTTCGAAAAATAAAATTTGATGTATCCTATAACTGTAATTTTATATTATATAAATAAAAATATGTTTTGGCACAAATGTTATAGAATTAGGGGGAATTAGAACCACCATATTTCAGTGAAGGGGTGAGTCACCCCTTAGGCGCGGCATACCCCAACTGGCACTACCCCTTTTGTTATACCTCAAATGAAAGGTCTCATTTAGTAGTATTCACCTGTACAAGAATTTTTTTTATTCAATACAGGATGTAACAAAAACATGAATTCGAATAAAATAAACTGTATTTTGTTAAAATGGTACTTTATTTGATCAGATAATTCAAAATGCATTCCATTTATTTCTAAACGATAGTACAATCAATTTTCAAACTCCGTTATTGTTATTAAGATGATATTTTATTTCATTAGATGGTCAACATGCATTTCATTTTTTTGTATACAAAAAAAACTTCAAATTCCATTCTTAAATTTTGGAGCACTTATCTGAGAATAAAAAATAGCATTGAATTTATCGGGTACGTACCTACCTATCAATGTTTGTATAAAATTTAGTCGTTTGTGCAAGGTTGTACTGCAAAGTCAGAACTGTCTAATTGAAGAAATACGAGTATAATTTTTATTTTCTATTCATCATGGTCTACAGATGTTTATTTATGGTTCAGAAAATCGTTGTGCCTTAAGAACTGCTGCAGCATTTAACGAAATAAACCCCGGAAAAAATGTAAGTCATACTTACATCAGACAACTGATTATTAAATTTAAAGAAACAGGATCAGTGGCAAACAAAAAAAGGGTCCATCAAAGAGTACTTAATGAAGCAGCACAAGTGGAAGTTTTAGGACATTTTGCTATGAATCCTACAATATCTCTACGCCAAGCTTCGGCGATAATGGGAATTTCTCATGAAGCTATTCGTCGGGTACTCAAACTTCATAAATTTTACCCGTACAAAATGCAAATTCTTCAGGAGTTGCAAGAGGATGATCCCGATCGAAGAATGCAATTTTGCGAGGACATGGCCGAAATGTTACGTGTTACTCCCCAGTTGCTAAAAAATATTTGTTTTAGCGACGAATGCACGTTTCATTTAAACGGTTCAGTGAACAAACATAACTGCAGGTATTGGAGTAACGAAAATCCGCATTTCTTCAGGGAAGGGCACACGCACTTAGAAATGTTAGACACCACCATTCAACCTCTCATTGTTGAAGAAATTGAAAATCAACTGGACATTGACGGAAACAGGAATGTGAAAATTTAATACATTTTCAGCAAGACGGAGCACCACCCCACTACGTTCTTCCAGTCAGGCAATGACGCTTTTCCAGGTCAATGGATTGGACGGAGAGGTCCAATCAAATAGGCGGCGAGATCTCCCAATCTAACACCTCTTGACTTTTTTCTCTTGGAACATTTGAAATCCATCGTATTTAAAACAAAACCGGATTCCAAGAGAAGTGTTCCACAATGTTAGAAGAGAATTTGAAAATTGATTATACTATTGTTTATATAATCTAATATAATCAAATATTAAATTTTTACGCTTACACTCAAAAAATCAAAACTGCGTTTTTAAATCAAATGTCCAAATTGTCCTCCATTGACTTCATTACAATAATAAATTCTCTCGAACTAATAAATAAAAAAAAATCCAAACATTTTCTTTTCTTGCCTTCAATGTTTGTTCTTAGAAGGTGTTTATCATGTTTCTTCGGTCATTTCATGTGATAAAACAATTAATTTTTTTTAAGAATGTGATTTTTTTTCATACACCGTTGTAAAGAAGCTTCCAAGACCATACAAATGAAGTATCACTCAACCCCTCTTACCTATTCAATTTTGAGGGGTTGAAGCGCCCCCTCATAGGGGGTTGCTCGTTCAAGCCTCAAATATACCTCAAAAGATGTCGCTCAAAGAAAATCATCCGACGTGTTTCGGGAAATTTTTTCAATTACTATGGGATAAGAAATATACGGGGGGTGGCTCATTTGAAATGGAACACCATGTATGAACAAACTATTCTAAAATGCTAACTATGCAAAATCGTATCTTTTATATATTCTTTTATAGTATGGGTGATATAACTCGCGCATTATAATTTTTTTTTATAGTTCGGTTTATTTATTATTAATAACATTGTTATATAATGTATTTAGTATGTGATATTTTTCTCGAAAACGGTCGAATTTAGAGCGTATGACCAAGAGTACTTTTTTGTGTAGAAAACACTGGCGATTCAAATGGGCGTTTCAAAACCATACTTTTTCCAGTGGCGTAGAATTTTTTTTTAATTTCAACACCCTGTATCTCGAAAATGGTGCATTTTAGACGGTAAGTTAATAGAAACGTTTTTTCATATTTTTGGACGAGCTATCACGTCCTGAAGTCCTGCGCATATATTATGAAACACCCTGTATACATTAGGTATTATTAATTATTTAATTGTTTTCACTTAAATCCAAAGAGTGGAATTTTGTCCAAAGGAAATCCCCTTTTTTAAAAACCATGTTTAGTAGACTTCTATAATATATACCTCACTGATTCCAGAAATCAAATAGCTTTCTTTATCCAGTAGAGTGTAGGTAGCGATTTTTAAATACTGTATATTCCCAAATCAATCGTTAAGGATACCCAAAGATGAATAACCAAGACATATAGGATTGTTTACAAAATTTCTGAAGCAAACGCTAATCGTCTTCGGCAGAAACACAAATATCTGATTGAACATTGTAGCAAAATTACGATGTTCTTAACAGTAGTAATGCAATCATTCTCATACGAGATCTAACAACCGCGCAATAAGAAAATCGAAATTTGTAAAAGTTTTTTTTTTTATCAGATGTTCATCCCATAGGCGTACATAAATACATTTAAATACCAAAAAAAACTTACTTAGCCACAATAAATTATTAGTAAATTTACATTATTTAACGATTTACTTTGATTAACTGTTAATAAATTTTATATAAACTGAGGTAGTAATCGGATAAAGCATTTTCAATGAGTTTTTCAAATATTATTGAAAATAGATAGGTATATCTTTGTTCTTTCATATAAGTAGCAATATGTCGCCTTCATTTCTCTTTACAAGCAGTTATTTTGATCAAATTTAATTAAAATAGGGTACAATTCATAGAATGTGGTACATTTTTATATAATCTGGTGCATTTCTCAGGCAAATCTGGTACATAACGAAAAAAATTTATTCTGGCAACACTGATCTACCCATACAACTGGTAACAAAGCCAAAATTGGGGGAGGGAATAACCTGAAAACCTGAATGTCTAGTTACAACGATGACGATGGCATTTAAAGGAAAACAATTGGTAAATATGTAATGTAGGAGAAAACAATAATTTATTTTCGTATACAATGATATCATAATTCAAATTATATAATTTGTAAAACAGTAACAATTAACATATTGTACTTACAATCGATAAAGCACCAATCTGAAGGCATCATCTGCTTGTCTTTATTTTCCTCCATCATACTATTTATCATAACTCGAACTTGTTCTAAATCTGAGACGGGATTTACTTCTATTCTACCTATATTTATTGCTGAAAATAAAAACGATTTGTAACCTAGGATGCAATTTAAATTCAATATAATGGAACCATAGAATTGCTGTATTGCCCCTACTAACTGAAGCACAAGAGGTAGGATAAAGTATCCTCCTCAGTAACCAGGAATGCTCAAAATTATACAGTCATAAATTGCGAGCAAAGTTAGTTACCTGCTTGAGCTAGAAGATCTTTATCGTAATGATGCTGTTCGTAATCAGACATCGTCAGCTTAAACACTCCGAGGTTAAGATTGTCCAACGCAGTTTGTATGGGAATCGCTCTGCCGTGTTTTCTCTTCGCTAACATCGGCGCTTTGTTCAAGTGGTTCAGAGTGATGACGGATGGACCCAGTTTGCACGCTTCGCCGTCCACTTGCATGGGAATTGTCTTCGAGGTTACTATTTTCGCGGACCGGCATTGAACGATGCAGGTGCCGTGGCCTCCGGCTTGTAAAAGAGGCTACAAAACAAAGGTAAATGTTGGCGTTGTCTGTATAAAGGTGAAATACGGATAGGTGATAGGTGGTTAGAGTTCCTGAGCGGGACGTAATTTTTTCCATTTTTTATTAGGTCAGGTTGAAAATTAGTGGGATGATCTCATCGCATTTCACTGCTAACCAGATGAATCTATTGTGACTCATATTTAATTTATAGTTCACCGTATAAGCCACGTCTTTTGATAAATGCCTAGGTTAAATTGGGTGAGACTTGTTTAAACTCAGTATAGGTTCCAGTTGGGCAAATACGAATATTTGAAACTTAGTTCTTTCCAAAGCGTATTTACTTATTAAAAATATTTCGGTTTTGAGGGTTGAAAAATAGTTTTAATTATTTAATAATTTTAAAATAGTTACATGTGATATAAAACAATAATGCACACAGACGACCTAGGGAAGTGTTTGCATGCATTAGCATGTTTCCCTAGACGACGTTGATTAATAGTTTGTTAAAAAAATGGAAAATTTTTGTCGTCAGGTTTGATTTGAATCTTATATTTAAATTATTATTTATTTATTAAAGTTGTACGTAAAATACGAATAAGTGCAATCCCAGTTTGAAACAGATTTTTTCAATTTCTGTTTGAAATATTTATTTTTTAGGCCAAAATGGATGATGATAAACTAAACAAAATAAAAGCAAAATTGAAAACTATGAAACAAAAAAGCTCAAAAAAAAAGAGTTGGCTAAGAAACTAAAATATAAGTCAAAGAAAAAGTCCAGAGAGAAAGTTATGATATGTTGAGTATGGGGTATTATGCACTACGATTTAACAGAACTATTGTGCCTCCTTCTGCCACTAATACATCTAGGAAATAGTCTCGTTGCATATATCTCAAGAAAATGTAGGATTTGGAATGGCTTTTAGTTAGGTAGATCGATCTCTTCTATTTGATATGCTCCTAAGTATAGTGTCCTTTTGATTCTTTCAGAATATGAATGAAGGTTTCATCCTCCTCTTTACAGAAACTTCGCTAACTATATTCTGTTACTCTCAGTTGACTAAAGTGGCTTTTGGATCGACAATGCCAGGTAAGGATCCCTGTTACAATGCGTAGCTTGTGAAAGTTACCATAAGGACCCTCCCTAGATAATACAGTAATAGTAGTACCAATTTTGCAAAATCAAAAAAACTTTAAAACACTAGTAGGGTCATATACTGCTGAAGAAATCCAATCTATTAGCGCCACTACAAGTGCTGGTAAGAATTAAACAAAAAAATACAAGCAAAACGTAAAAACAACGTTTTGACAAAACTTTTTTTTATTTATCGATTTATTTAAGGCTAGTTATATAAGAAGAAACGTTGATTCAATTAAAATATAAAACCGTAAACTGTTAACTTTGCATTTATTATTATCATTTAAAATACATTATTAAAATTCATTCCAGCTTAGATTGTTGTAGAATAAACGTCAAATAAATAAAGTTTTTATTTTTCAAAAGTCATTTTTTTTTTTTTTTTAAATAAAATAAATAAAAACTGAACGCATAATATTTGATAGTTTTATTTCTGTATGGAATCCTGATCTTTCCTCTATTTACAATCGATAATACACCGATTCCAACCAATTTTCCGCTTGTCTATTATACATTAATATCTATAAGTGATGGATAAGATTTAACATTTCGAAATACTTTCTCGGAAACGAGAAAACGATTTTGTTTGTACAAATCTCTAGTATGACGTCATTCGCTCTCGTCTTTCACGAAAATCGGAAGTAGGAAGTGGATCAAACAAACAACAAACAATTTAATGGCACTTATTTGCTTCAACTTCCATCAAGTGTAAGATCAGAAAAATATTTAATTAAATTTACTTAACAACTATCGTATTTCCAAGACTTTCTAAGTCTAGCAGAGCTTTTTATAATGGAAATGGGAATTAAGAAATTTAACAATTATTTATAAATTTTTGGAGCAGCTGATCTAAGATGTTCGGTAGAAACTAATTTTTGTGAAAACATTGGTCGATTTTTATTTCTGATTAGTAGTCCAGAAGGTAGTGAAGTTTTTTGGTACTTATTTTCCCAGTCAGGAAACACTGATAATTATTCGGTTTGTTATTCTAAGCAATATCCATATACAGGGTGCGGCAAAAAGGTAGGCAGGCTTTCAAATAGTGGTTGCTCGGTTTGTAAAATCGGCAACACTGTGCACGCGGTCGCGTTAGGTAGACAAACAGGGCTGGAACTCTGTGTCATGTAGAATTCTACTTATCGCTTTCAACAATAGATTCTTTTGTGGCACTCTGTGTAACATAGCGGAAAACCAACGAGTATATACTTACTACAGGATAACTAGTTTCATAAGAAACCACATTGCGATATTTCCCGTGCGGTTGATAACGTATTTATCACAAAAGAAAGTAATCGATTCCATTGTAGAAAGCGATAGGTAGAATTCTACATGACACAGAGTTCCAGCCCAGGGCTGCCGCGGAGGTATTTGGAAATGTACTAGAAAATTTGAGGAAAATGTACTAAATTGTACTAAATTTTAGGTGGACTGTCATTTGTCACAACTGTCACGTATGTTGTCAGTTGTCATGTCAAATCTTATCGAATGTCAACTGTAGGATGGATGGGCGTTGTTTGTTTTTGTTGCTTATGTACTTTGTAAAATTAGAATTGGAATATACCACTGGAATATACCGATACATTAATATGAATATAGTTTTGTTTTAAATTTTATTATTTTAAAGGCAGGTTTATCAAGGTAGGTAAAAATAAATTGTACGATCATAAACCAGTCACTGACACCAGGATTCTGCGCAATAGATCATTTGGGGGCCCCAATAATCTACTGCGCAGAATCCTGGAGTCGGTGACAGGTTTCTGATCGTTATTGGAATAGACCTTATGTAAAATCCCTTTTCTTTAGGAAAAATACCGCCAATATTTACAATACACGATATATCGGGAAACTTAAGTTTTCCATCATAGATGGTGCCACAAAGATGATCAGTATTTCAAATTGTACTAAATTGTCCCTGATTTGACTTAAAATGTACTTTTGTACTTTCCCGTGAGAAATGCGAAGAAATGTACTAAATTTAGTACAATTGTACTGAAACGGCAGCCCTGAATAAGACAAAAGTATGCAGTTTTCAGTTATTGACATGGCTTGGAGCGGAGTGCATCATGCTTTCGTTGTCGAAGAGTTTTTTAGAAATGAGGAATCTGTAATAGCGACGCAGCGTGTCATCCGTAATCAATTTGATGTTGGTCGGCATGGAGCGGTTCCGGATGGAAAAACAATTCGTCGGTGGGTTTTACACTTTAACGAAAATCTACTGGCCGACCAAGGACAGTAAGAACACCGGAAAATGTGAATGCAGTACTACCTAATTAATTTATATAATACTTAGGCACTATTATAAGTCACAATTTCAATTTATCTTTTCTGTCCAATACTTAAATTGAATCTTCTTGTCCGTCGACAAACGCGTGCTATTTATATAAAGCCAGCTCTGTACCAGAACTCTCTGGCTTTCCAGAACGATCAAAAACTGTCTTATTGAGTCATACGCCGAAAAGGGATCTATCCGGTAGCTTCTCGAAGCGGTGCGTTTGTTTCTATATGGCCAGAGCGGGCAAGGAACAGAGACGGCTTTCGCGTCACATTATTTATATTTCATTTGTTTATCTGAGGTTTTTTGCCAAAACTTTTACAATAGCTTTCCTGCACGCTGTCACCAATGCAGCATCGGAACCAGACAACGTTTTTAACGTGTGGCCAATTGGTAAAGGCAACGAGGCCTAAACTCGGAGATCCAGGTTCGATCTCTGGTTTGAGCTCATTTCTTTTTTTTTCTTTATTTTTTTTTACCTTGGGGTTTTTATTTTCACATTTTGAATTTTATCCTTCAGTTTTCTCTCTCCTTTAGATATTTGAAAGTAAAATTAGAAAAACAATTTTATCAGAGTATTTATTTGCTTCTCGGCCAATTGTGTCTGTAATTTGTAGAGTGGTTAGGGGTGTAAAACGATCTATTATCTTGTAGTTCTAATATGAAAGTTAATTCAATTTCTCCAAAGTCAACTTTGTTGGATATAATTTTATACAGATACATCAAAGCTGCAAAAATTTGTTTATCGTCGAGAGGCATTAATGAGATTGATTTATTTTCTTACTTCCCTATATTCGCTCGGTTTTCAACCTAATTTATAAGCAACCACTCTCAAAAATTTACTTTGTATCTTTTTAAGATCAACATGTTTTATGTAAAATAGATTCCATATTACAGTGGGGTACTTTAATATTGAACGAAATAATAGGGAATGCAGAATTTTTAAGGAAATTTTAAGAACAATCTGGTATGTAATGATTTTAATATAAATCTAAATTGAACCACGATTCTCTGTTCTTTGTTTAGTTTTTATTAAAGTGTACAATATTAAAAATACTAAACTTATAGTTTCTCAAAAATTATACCAATGGGCAAAATATTTTCAGGTGTCCAAGGGGTTAAAAAGGGCAACTCTTAGTTCTTACGATAACTTTTATATTAGAAATATGTAATTTATTTACTTTCAAAAAGTTTTGATTTTTTATAAAATTTCTGTCGATATTATCTCCGAAAATACTATATTTAAGTCAGATAGTCAGCTTGATAAAATTATTTATATCATCAAAATTTGAATAAGATTTGATTTTTACAAAATATAGTAGACAAAATTTTTACCACACTCAAAATCGAAAATAATATTTTATAAACATTTTTTTTTTTGAATCACATGTTATAATATGCATATTATAAAAAATAACTTACAAGTTGATATGTAGTTAAACCTAAGACTTCTATGAGAGCGTCATCAGTACTCGGATCACTAATACCCATTGATCGATTCCACGGATGTGTTCCACCACCATAACTAAAAATAACATATATTTACATTTATAAAACTCAAATGTGAACAGAAAATAAAATATAGTAAAGCAAATAAGCCCTATATGTTACAACTAATACGAGCGACCACTTTCTTCCTGAAAATAATTACTCCTTTGGCTAATACCGCAACAGGCATCGAATTTTAACCAAAGAAAAATAGTGGAAGTAACTTTGATTTAGCTTACTAAGTAAAACTTATCACCAAGTAGATAATATTATCAATTCACTAAATATACTTTGTAGATGCGCTAAATTTACTCATACCTACTATAAATACCTAGTATTTAAACTAGGTATTACAAGAAAGCTTTGATTTTGATTTCAAAGTGCAAATGGCGTTACTTTATGACATCTCATTCTCTCACAACTACCACTCATGTGTACGAGTAAATTTAACGCGTCTATAGATGACAGAGTTTGGAATCGAAAATGTCTATTTTTGGCGATGAGACCCAAAAAAAATGAAACTGGTTTTTATTAGGTCATATTGCAATGGCTGTTGCAATACTAGCCAAAGGAATAGTTGTTTTCCGGAGGAAAACGGTCACTCGTATTAGTTGTGAACTACAGGGTCTCATTAAGAATGGAATACAGAAAAACTGAAGATTCTCTGATTAAAAATAAGGCGATTAAACAGAACATGCTTAAATACTGGTTTCCGAAATACATGGTGTTGTGACAAAGTCACTAAATTTTATTTTTAATCCATCTTAAAAATGTATATTTCAATTAATTACCGCCTGAGAACATGTAGAAGTTCCCCCGTATTTCTATTTCCCAGGAATTACCGTTTTTCAACAATTACGAGTACCCTCGTAGATTAAAATATTCTTATATTTGCCGAAATCCGAATGGGAATTTTTAGAGTCGATTTCGTATGGATTATTTACTTTTAATTGTCAAGATACTAGAAGGACATTTTTTATATTTATAAATTGTAAACAGTCAGCTGTAGTGGTGGTATCCCCACTCGGGCCTACTGGTCTTCCATCTTGCTTTACCGAAAAAGCATAAATTAAATCCCATCTGGGAATTACGCCCTCTTCTCGCTTGCCAGCCGTCGTAAGCTCTTCTCTCTTAATTGCCGACAGCCGAAAACTATTCACCCTTAGTTAGTACCTAGTGCCGTGAGTACCGTGATTTAGTTCATCGATAAACCCCGTTTATCTGCTAAAGTAGGAACCGTATGTTATTATTTTTTTATATTGGCTTTTATATAATTAGTTGGGACACCCGTGTGACAAGTGAAGAATTTTGATTCACATCCAGGATATATTATTTCATCCCTCAGTGGGAAACCGTTGGCAATTTTTTATTTGAGGTTGGACCTAGACTAGACACCGAGTACTCTCTTTGTCAGCGACTATATCCAATTTCTTTTAAAAACTGCCCAGTTTAAATCGAAGTGAGAGATTCGACCTGTTTTCGATTTTTTATTATTTTATTGTTTTAATTTTTTTTTCCTTTTTCGGAAGTTCGATCCGTTTCCTGGGTTAGAGAGCTCTCTCTCCTGATGACGTTGTCTAATTTCCCAAAAAGACGTTTAAATTAATTTCCGCGCCTCACTTCGTGTAAAATTTCTTTTCTTTTAATTTTTTTATTCAGATTAGAACGATCCAGTTGTAACCTTTTCTTATCAAGCTTCTAATTTAAAAAAAATGTAACGCTACTTTTACCTTTTTTGATATATGAAAATAATTTTAAAAAATCAAACCTATTACCTCTAATAAACAGAAAATTAATATCAATTAAATGCGATAACCATAATTTTTAAGTTGGCTCACTCTGTTACTAATGGGGCGAAGTATGGAACAGTATTATTTATTTCTTACCTTGAAATATTGAGAAAAACGATAGCATGTACTCGTAGGTCCTTCAACTTCTGTGTGATATTTTGTCCATCGCATTCTAACGTCACGAAGTCTGCCAGATCTTTCCATTTTCTTTTCAATAAGTCCTTGCCGCCCATTTGACCATAGAACATTTTATTTCTTAATCTAGAATTAAACTTCTCTGGGTGAGCCTCTGAAATTAAAAATTAAAATCACATTTTGAACCCCAAAATTGTAAGTTCATAAATTGTTGTTAGATTGAGCACCAATTTCGAAGTTTATTACTTCGCTGAGTTGTTTATCGATTTTTGTAACCGATCTAAAGCTAAACAATACGTGCACTACTTCATATTAAAGAAATATTAATAAACGAAAAGCAAGGAAAACGGAAATAAAACTTTTAAGTTGACGATAAAAATAAACGAGACGGCAACTCCTGGTCCAGATATTAATAATAAATATAAAAATACCTTTAAAGTTACCTATTATCCCAATACTACTATTGAACAGAAACAACACTCAAAATCTGTTATCCAGCAGTATCAATTTTTTTTAAGAAAAAGTTATCAGCGCCCTTCGAAACTTTTCGCTCCGAATGAGCTTTGTCCCGTTTTTAATCAAAACTTCACCAACTTTAAACTGTTATGTGGTTTTTCCTTAATTATTAGTTTCTTAATGATAACGCCTACTTAGGCAAAGCTTAAAGTTTTAAATTTAAATTACATTTGAATATCGCATTAATTAGAGTGGTTTAGAATAAAATAATTAAATAACTTTTACCTCTAGCTTCGTGAAATTCCAAAGCGATGTGTGCATCAACTCCTAAAGAAAAGTAGTTGTTCACAACGTTAAGGGGCAAATGTTCTTTCCCCCCTTCTCCTGGTTGCGCTTCTGTGTTTTTCTCAACCTCCAACGACCATCTGTCCAGATTCACGATATCACTCTGATTTATATTGGATAAAATTTTTGAAATCGGCTCGTCTGTATACCCCTGTAAGCATTAAAATCGATTAGTTACTTTGTAAGCTTTAAAATCTAATAATTACTTTGTAAGCATTAAAATCGATTAGTTACTCTGTACGTTTTAAAATCGATTAATTACTTTGTAATCATTAAAATCGATTAATTACTCTGTAAGCTTTAAACTCGACGATTACTTTGTAAGCATTAAAATCGATTACATTCTAAGAATAAATGGAAATACTTCGAAAGTAGTTAATATAAATTTAAAAAAAAGTTACTTACTCCACCCCATCCGAGAGCTCTGGCTAAATCGTTCCCAGTTCCAAGCGGCAGTACCCCGACAGCGGGAGCTGGCGAAATTCCTATTTGATCTATCACGCTTAATACCCAGCCCACGGTACCGTCCCCCCCGCACGCTAACACTCTTAAATTAGGCACTTTCTTAAACATTTCTAACCCCATTCTGGGTCCGCCCTGCGTCAGGTCGAATACTTGTCGGGGATTCAAAAGCCATTGGAATTTCTGGAGAAGTTTCAGTCCCTGATTTCCGCCCGATTTTGGATTGATGAATACTAATACTGGCGAAACGTTGGTCGATGGAATGGGTTTTATAGCAAAAAATCGATGTTCTTTGTCCTGAAACAAAACAGAACAGTTCATACTGTATTTGTTAACGTCGGTGTCAATATATTGCAAATGTTAAATAAACTTAGTTATTTAAAATAAATGGGAAAAACAGCTGGTACACTCAATTTTAATTTTAATCGATGAGTTTTATAAATACAATCAATCTACCTCTTATTTCATTTCCTCTACGTGACTGCCACCCCTCAATATGTTATTAAATAGCAAAAGAGGTTGCGTGATACTTTGAATTTAAAATTGTTTAATGCTTAATAATCTAAACTTAACCGTATGTCTGTTAGAATGTAATTTTTATCAGGTTCACCCTATATGCTCTTTAAAATACCTACATCATTTCTAGTTTCTTGACAAATGTCAAAAGTACCTTCTGTAATAAAAATGCATTCCGCCACATGCAAATTGTTTCCACTTTCGTCAATTATAAAGCCAACCCACCTCCCCCCATACACCCAAACACAATTATTAAGGCAGCTGTTACTTTGTCAGCTTGAGCACGTAACTTATGTAGAATCTTAAACGTCTCATCAAACAATAATTAAACTAAAAATTCAAGTTATAAACACCTGTAAAACGTAGCAAAGTAAACATTCTTGCAGAATTAAGAAAGTCAACTTCTTCAACAATTAACCAGAGGCGAACTTTTGAATTAATTAATTAATTAATTCATTCATTCATGAAGAAATTGCCAGATGTATAGCACGCTTTAGAAAACGAAATCAATTCTGAAAACATGGCTAAAATATAACAGAGAACCTGGTTGATGGTGGAAGATAAATTATTAAAACATTCGAAACAAGAGTGACCAGTCTAATCCAAAGCTAATGGACAGTAAGTAATGAGTAATTTTTTGGATGCAGTTTATATAAATATTGAATCAATTCATCATTTTTAGATATTATATTGATTTTTGAGCATGATATCCTGGCAAATGGAACACCTTTGTAAAATAAAAATTATATAAACTAGCAATTTTATTGTCAATATTTATTACCGATAAGTAATTATGTGTAATTATTATATTTTAATTACTTACCTAATGGGTAGCACAAAGTTGATCGAAAACATTTGATTGAATACATCTGATCGAAATTATTTCATCGAAAGCATTCAATCGAAAAATCAACTAATCGAACAACAATTGATCGATAATAAAAATAGACAAAGAAAAAATGTTCAAAAGGAATATTAATCGAAAATAATTTTAATTTAAAATGCAATTGATAATAAAAATTACCTAGAAACCTCATCAAGAAACAAATAAAATATTAGTGAACACATCTAAAAAAAATTCAAAATTAATTGATATTTACCTATTGTGATCTGCAAAGGTTTAAAAGATTAACAGTCAAAATTATGGATTGAAGAGACTATTTAAATTTGCTCATTCTGTCAGATTTAAAATCGATTCTACTTTATCAGATTATACACAAAACATAAGTAAAATGCAGTAATTAAAAATATTGTACATATCCTTGATCTTCTTCAAAGAAAAATCAATGCACCATATCCTTTATTTGGCTGAAAGTACACACGGGTTTATTCAGAGGTGGATTTACACTAGGGGCAGTCGGGGCTAGTGCCCAGGGCGGCAAATTTTCTAGGGTGGCAAAATTTGGAAAGTGAAAAATTTTTTTTTATTGTCATCGAAAGTGTAAATATTTATAAGATATTCGACGTTTAATTAATCAGCAAAGAATAAAGATCATTCCGAAAATTGAATAAAATATATATCTATGCTATCCCTATTAAAAAATATTCATGTTAAATCCTGTGAAATATGCACGCCACTGATATGGTCATTTGATGACATTTTTACAAAATTCGGTCAATGTAAACATTATACAATAATAATTATGGCATAAAGGGAGGGTAATTTATAATGAATAACCCTGTTAGGTACCTAATATCAAAGTATATAATATATAATAAATTATTTGAAATACATTAGATATTTTAATTTTTTATAAATAAGATATCAAAACTACATAACTTTTAATGATATTTCAATGATGGGGCGGCATTTTTTTCAGTGCCCAAGAGCGGCAAAATCCGGCCCTGGGTTTATTTGGAAATGAAAAAGTTGATACAGCCGCTAAAACAGATTTTTCTCTCGCAACAATTTGTAATGTATACTCCCGCAAGATATGATCAATCATTTCAAAAAAAAAAGTTCTATCAAATTGAGAGAAACTTTGGGTGGAGTTCACATGTTAGTCAAACAAACCATATATACTTATTCACCCTTCCTTCCAAAAAATATACTACAATATATCTAAATTTAAAATATCTAGACTTTGTTTGTCCATATTTATTAAACTTGTTATCCAAAATATGAATTAAGAATTAATATCTCATATCTCCATACTAAGCACATTTAATGAAAATGTTTCTAAAGCAATATTTGCATTTATTATCAAATTTCAAATAGATAGAAAATTCGTAATATTATTGCAAAAATCTGTAGCATAAAAGACAATTAAAATAAAAATCATGGTATAAGAAAATGATACTAAATATTTGAAGACATACAGTTGGCAATATATTATGAGAAAGGTGAATAAAAAGTATTTTAAACATTTCCTTTTTAAAACTACGTGGTTAAATTTAAAAAGTAGTATGAAAGGTGTAGGCCATTATAAAAAGAGGGGTAGACTAAATGAGTTTTAATTGGCTCTGAAAGCAGGATTATTTTCAAATTGGATTTGAGCATTCAAAGAGTCTAGAGAGCTATGTTTAATATTTTTTTAATTTCCAGTTTCATAAAATTAAATTTAATTAAAACTTGCAGACTTCAAAACCTGTACTTGAATCAAAATCCTGTCCAGTGTCTAAAAGATGAGAAGCGGAAGCGAAATATGAAAGCAACTAGTTTCAGTATTTAAACAACTTGTGTGTTATTTGAGGAGTACTTTAAAATTACGAAAGGTTCTTCCGACATAGGAACTTTGGCAAGTTGCACAAGTTACTTCATATATACCTGATTGATCTACGACCTAGTATGTTGACTTTATCTTTATTTCTGACATGCAATTTGTTAATGAAGGTGGAGTGGGATCTTAAAGGAATCTTCAAATAAAGTCGCTATACGACATGAAAATTTACTTGTAAAGGTAAATACTGGGTGTTATTTAATAACTTTGTGAGACAAAGGACTTTTTTTAACAACTTTCATACGTAATCCCTTATGCTTAACTTACACATGGATACCCTCACCTTTATAATCCAATCACTGAAAAATAGTGAAATACTTATTAAAACGGTAAATTTGAATTAATAATAATAATAACAACAATAATATTATTCTCCCTAATTCACCCTCTTACAAGTGAATTTGAACCGCAAAAGCAGAGCTTGTCCAGGGAAGGAACGATTAATTTTATTCTTTGCCGTGGCGCTCCAGGGCCACTTTAAGATGCCTGATGATGCCATTTGACTTACAGGTGAGGAAAACCCTACCAACCATCATTGAAACGGTAACGCATGGCGATTTATTGGACTGGTATATACCTTACTGAATTGATTTTATAATAATTTTCTTTTCGTGAATTTATTACTGGACTTAGTGTATCATTATGCAACGATGGTTATTTAAAACATCTACTATACCTTTCGTAATTTGATTGCATTTACCTTTCTACTAGTAACTATCGATATTTTGTAATTATCCACTGCATTTTATTCAAAAAACTTAAAATTCAGCATTATCGAAACTTGCCAGAATTTGCAATTTCGCGAAAACTCTTCTTGACAATATAATAAACATCCTCCTCTTCCTCTTATAATAAGAATAAATTTATTAAAATGTCAAATAGAAGACACTCGAAAGCAAACTATTCGGCGCATAATAAGTCTGCTTATCACAAAAATGGGTGGTCCACAGAGAAGTTTGTCTTTTATTTAATTATTTACTGAAAGTTCGAAAACCACTCTCGACGTTTTGAAAATTTAATTTTCTCTCAGTTCGAACGTTTGAACGCCCACTCGAACGATGATGGTAATGCGAAAATATTGAATTAAATGCGACCCCAGATATAGAATAAAGGAAACTCATGAGGTGGCGTTTGTATGACTGTCACGAAATTACAGAGTTGACGAACATACAGTGTGGATACTACTGACGGAATACATTTTTATTGGCTGTATTTTAGAAAATAATAAAAATTTTCCAGACACGTCGGTTTTTAATGTCTTTTAAAGTAAAATAGTAATATACATTTTATTCTTTATAATTTTAATACTTTTTATGTGTTGCGACCTTCTCCTATAAAAATATTTAGAAACTTAAAAAATTTATTATTGGTCCTTATAAACATACAAAATGACTGATAATTTATTGTAATGATATTCCTATTAAATTATGAAATTGTGAATTTTAACCCAATTTCTGATATAAATGGATAATAAATACGTAAATATATTTGGAACGTTCTAAAAGATGATGTTGTAGTATTCCCCGCGAAATTTCAAATAAGTGTGCTCTTCTTTTTTTAATTTTGGTGATCTCGTACACCAGTAGTTAGACGTTTAATGAGAAAGAAGATTGGCCCGCTTTTCATTTGTTAATATTCTGTGAGATTTTAGTTCTAAGTCAGTTGTCAATGTCAAGATTGTCAAAAGAAAAAAGTTGTTCTGATAGAGATGAATTTGATATGTCATGGCGTCAAGTCGTTTTAGAAATTACAAGTTTTGAATAGAAACCAATGTTTTATTTAGTATTAGAAGGTACCCGCAGCCCATCCCCACAATGTAGGATTTATTGCTTCTATTAAGTCATATTAAAGTGTTAGTGATTTAATTACACACGTATTTAAATATTATCACGATGTAGGTACGTGTTTTTTTTTATAACAGGGATGGCTGAGTCACAATTTATTTGGCTTACTGCCGTTCATTATTATTGCGCAATGTCCCAGGGGTTATCAAGAAATATTTAAAGACTGGTCTCTATAAATTAAGCAATATTACTTTGGTTTGGTTTCTAGCCCTGAACC